GATGGAAAATCCATTGGATTTCAGATGGGAAACCCCTTGGATTTGGGATGGAAAATCCATTGGATTTCAGATGGGAAACCCCTTGGATTTGGGATAGAAACCCCTTGGATTTGGGATGGAAAATCCCTTGGATCCGGGATGGAAATCTTGGATCCAGGATGGAGATCTTGGATCCGGGATGGAAATCTTAGATCTGGTGGGATTTGCTCAAATGGATGAAGGAACCCAAGCTTCAACCAACTTGGCTGAAGACCCATCCAAGGACCGCCCTTGGGACGAGCCGGGATCGCCCCCTGGAATCTCCCCACCCGTGGAAGAGCCGTGAGGAGCCCACCACGGCATTCCCGACGCGGGGGATCCGCGGATTTCTCCGCACCTGGCGCGGCGTTTCCGCACCCGGCGCTCGTGCTCGGCCTCCTCGTAGTAGAACTCGTTGTGGCTGTTGTCGCGCCGCCGCGCCGCCGCCGCGATCACCGCCCGCGACTGCCCCGTGGAGTTGTTGGTGGAGTTCTCTGCGCGGCCGGCCGGACCGGGGATGAGCTCGGGTTCCGCACCCGGAGCTCCCCCCGAAAAATTCCCGACAGGAACACAGGGATGGGGACGGAGAAACGGGAGGAAAAGGAGAGGAGAGGCCACGGCAAAAGGGGAATCTCACCCTCGCCGAGGGAATAGACCTTAAAGCCGGACATTTTCTTGGAAAGGACGGATTTTGGAAGGTTGAGGAGGGCGGGGTTGTAGACCGGGAAGTCGTGGTAGTAATTCTCCAGGATCCACACGGCCGCTCGCTGGATGCTGCCAGGGGAAAGGTGGGGCACGGGGAGAGTGGGGAAGGTGTGAGGCACAGGAGGGGCTGGAATGGAATTCCCGGGAAAAACCGTGGCCGCCCCATTCCTGGAAGTGCCCAAGGTCGGGTTGGAGCCACCTGGGATGGTGGGAGGTGTCCCTGCCCATGGATCTTTAAGGTCCTTCCAACCCAAACCGTTCCATCAATTCCCAGAGAAAAGAGCTCCAGGATCTGAACGGTGGCCGAGTCCCACTTGGTCATCCCGAGGGCTCTCCAGGAACTCCTTGGACACCTCCAGGGGTGGCCACTCCAAACCTCCCTGGTCAGCCCTGTCCAAGGCCTGGCCGCCCTTTCCAGGAGGGATTTTCCCAGATTTCCCACCCTGGCACAGCTCGAGGCCGTTCCCTCTTGTCCTGCCCCCGTTCCCTGCGATCAAACCCCCCTTGGAGGACCCCCAAACCCCCTGGGATCCCCCTTTCCTCCAGGCTGATTCCTTGCAGCTCCCTCAGAACTTCTCCACGCCACCCCTCACCACCTTTCCCATGAAAAACTCCCCATTCCCACCACGGGAACGCCCACCCGGCCACCGCAGCCGTCCCCACCTGAGGTGGCCGACGTTGTAGAAGCGGCTGGCGCCGTCGGCCGAGCGCACGGCCTTGAGCGTGAACTGGGGCTGGAGCTGCCGCAGCTCCAGCAGCACCACGGCCAGGTAGTGGACGAAGAGCAGAGCGTCCACCAAGGAGACGGCGAACTGCACCACGCCGCGGTAGTTGCGGTCCCGCGAGTCCAAGATCCGCACGCCGTAGAAGAGCCAGTAGGACACGAGCAGCAGGAAGACCAGCACCATGAGCAGGGCGCGGAAGACGAAGACGCGCGGGAAGAAGGCTTTGGGGCGGCGGAAGAACAAGGCCCAGCTGCCCAGCAGGAGGATGAGGAGTTTGAAGGCCACCGAGATGAAGAGCCCCTCGCAGGGCGTCCCGCAGGGCTCCAGCTCCTCCCGCCACAGCAGCTGCGGGAGGAGGAGGAAGGCCAAGGGCGTGAGGAAGGCCAGGAGCGCCAGGGCCACGCCCAGGGCCACGCCCAGGTGGCGGGAGCAGTCCAGGTGGGCGCTGTCCTCCATGTCCTTGGTGATGCGCGTGAGGTCGTCGTGGGAGATGCTGTGCTCCGACGTCCCCGTCACCACCGTGGTGGTCTCGCCCCAGTTGTCGTCCTGGGGAGGGGACAGCGGACGTTGCCGGGGGTGGCTCCGTGTCCCACCTGTCCCAGGTGGCCACCTCACCTCCAGGACTCCCATCCTTTGCACCTCCCAGCCGAGAGTGTCCCCACTGTCACCCTGGGGAGGGACATTTCCAGGGTGGCTCCGTGTCCCACCTGTCCTCACCTCCAGGACCTCCCACCCACCGCAGCTCCAAACCAGGAACTGTCACCCTGGGGAGGTGACAGGCGACATCCCAAGGGGTGGTTCCCGAATTCCTTCAATCCCAGAGGAGCATTCCCTGCTCCAAACCCCCCTCCAGCACCTCCCACCCGTGACACCTCCAAGCCAGGAGCGACCCTGCGGAGGGCCCGGGCCACATTCCGACTGGTGGCCCCAAATTCCTCCAATCCCAGAGGGACATTCCCAAACCCCCATCCCACCTCCACGCCGGGAGCGCTCCCTGGAGCCATCGCCCTCCTCGGGGTGGTGGAACCTCAGCCTGGGACTGGGAGAGCGGCGATTCCGCCGGGAATTTTCCCTCCGGGAAAGCTCCGGCTCCGGCAGGAGCAGCTTTGGGATTGGGCAGCTCCCGGCAGGAGCAGCTTTGGGATCGGGCAGCTCCCGGATTTCCTGGCAACCCCCCCGGCTGGCAGGGCCAGAAGGAACATGCCCGGCGCGCCCCCGCACCTCTGCCCGTGCCAGCGAGGCTGGGAATGGTTGGGAATTGTTGGGAATTGCCAGGAATTGTCGGGAATGGCTCCGGACGGGCCCTTCCCTGCTCCAGAACCCATTCTCCCAGCCAGAGAGGTGCCAAAAATCCCGGAGTCCTTCCCAGCTGGATTCCTTCCCACACCCCGTGGGTGTCTTTCCCTCACCCTGCTTTTGGGCACTTGGACGTTCCTGGAATTTGGTTTTTTTTCCCGTTTTGGAACTTTCCCCACCAATTTCTGCCGGAAAACCAGGAAATTCCTCCCTGTGAGGGCGCCTGGTTTTTCCATGGATCCCCCAGCCCTGGAAGCGCCAGTCCCAGCTCGGAGCAGCCCGGGATAGTGGGAGGCGTCCCTGCCCATGGGACGATCCTCGAGGCCCCTTCCAGCCGATCCCACGGCTCCACGAATTTCATTCCAAAGGGAAAGCGGAGCCCGGGGCTCTCCAGCAGGACGGGAAGGGCGGCTCCGGGAGCCCATTCCCGGGAAAAGCCGCCGGAGAGGGAACATGAAAAGCGCCGGAGCCGCCGGTGTGGGCGGACTGGGAGAGGATGAAAGGCCGGGATCGGTCTCCGCGGAGCCCAGAGGAATTCCAAAATTCGGGAACGAGGGGCACCAGGGGCGTGGCGGCCTCCCCGGTTCCATCCGGGCGGGAATTTGGGGGCAAATCCTCGAGGTTTGGCTCTGTCGGGATCAGATCCCGGGGCCGTTTTCCAGCCCTGGCTTTTCCCGAGGCGCCGCCGGAGCCGCCGCCGCGTCTCCTTTCATTTTCTCATTTTCTCCTTTTCCCGGGACCGGCCCGACCGGCCGGACCGCTCCGCCGGGAAATTCCGCCGGGATCCCCCGTCGGGCTTCCAGCCCTTTCCCCGCTCACCCTCTCGTCCCCCCGCGTGGATTCGTTGTCCAGCAAAGGTTCTCCCGGCGCTTGGATTGTCACCGATTTGTCCCCGCGCGTCCCATCCCGGCTCTTGGAGCGGTGCCGCTCCCGCCGATCCCTGGGAAAAGCGGGAAATGGGGGGAAAAGCGGGATAAAGCTGGGCCACGCACCGGGATGGGCGCGCCCACCAAACGTGGGGACGGGGAGCGCGGGGCGCCCCACCTGTGCTTGCGGGAGCCGCGGGAATGGCCGGATTTGTAGGAATATCCGGAATACTGCGACTCGTTGTCCATGGCGTCGGAGCGCCGGGCTTTGCGCCGCTCCAGGATTTGGGATTTGGGTTTTCCCGGGAGAGCGGCCAGGGCCTCCTTCAGCGGGGGCTTCTTCAGGCCCAGGGGCACCGTCAGGAAGTCGACCGTGACCTTGAGGGGCTCAATTTTGTCACCTTGGGGTGGCCTCGCTCAGGAGAAAAGGACGCGCCCGCCTGCGGGGACACGCGGGGACGTCACTGGGCCGGCCCAGTATGGCCCAGTACGGCCCAGTACGGCCCAATAGGCCCCAGTAGGGCCCAGCAGGGCCCAGTATGGCCCAGTACGGCCCAGTAGGGCCCAGCAGGGCCCAGTATGGCCCAGTACGGCCCAGTAGGGCCCAGTAGGGCCCAGTATGGCCCAGTATGGCCCAGTATGGACCAGTATGGCCCAGTATGGCCCAGTACGGCTCAGTACGTATCAGTATGGCCCAGTACAGCCCAGTACGGCCTAGTACGGCCCAGTACGGCTCAGTACGGCCCAGTACGGCCCAGTACAGCTCAGTACGGCCCAGTAGGGCCCAGTACGGCTCAGTACGGCCCAGTACGGCCCAGTATGGTCCAGTACGGCCCAGTATGGCCCAGTACGGCTCAGTATGGCCCAGTACGGCCCGGTAGGGCCCAGTATGGCCCAGTATGGCCCAGTACGGCCCAGTATGGCCCAGTACGGCCCAGTAGGGCCCAGTATGGCCCAGTATGGCCCAGTATGGCCCAGTACGGCCCAGTACGGCCCAGTACGGCCCAGTAGGGCCCAGTATGGCCCAGTACGGCCCAGTATGGCCCAGTAAGGCCCAGTAAGGCCCAGTAGGGCCCAGTATGGCCCAGTACGTACCAGTAAGGCCCAGTAGGGCCTAGTACGGCCCAGTACATACCAGTAAGGCCCAGTAAGGCCCAGTAAGGGGGCAAGGGTCCCAGAGCCCCTCCTGTCCCTGCATCCCATTGCCCAATGGGAAATGGGGCAGGAAAAGGGGATTTGGGGTCGGGAGGGAGAGGGAATTTGGGATGGGTTGGGAGAGGGAATTTGGGATGGGCAGGGAAAGGGGATTTGGGGTC